ACAAGTAGGTCTCCTACCCCGCAACTTGCCTCCCGTCACTCCGGGCGGCAGACTGGGCATCGTACCCCCAACCGGTAAGTCACTCGGCCCTCGTGGCTCTTTCCTTTGCTGCCTCGACCGTCAAAACAAACGACTCTCCGGCCAATAGGCAGGTCCCAAACCTGGCAGCTAGATCATGGCCAATCCCATCGGCAGGCTGGGCGTATTCGAATGAGCCCCTCACCCGAACATGAGCCGACAAACCGCTTATCAACTACGTACGCAGAGAGGCGGCTCGTGCTACTTCCTTCGCCAGCATACACTAGTTCGAATGAGCCTACCACGAGATCTGGGAGACAGGCTCAGCCCCTAGACTCGGCGCTCCGCGACCAACCCCCCTTCCCTGCTGATCAGTAAGTGCCCGACTAGACGGCTGTATTCATCCACTACTTCCGAAGGCAGGACGGGCAACCAGCGGTCACCCGGTAAGTCCCCATTCCCGCGGACGGCCCCACGCCATTTTCACCGATCGGTTAAGCAAGATCGAATGGAGCTTCCGCCAGGGCCCGACCAGGTTCACCCCACTCCTTGTCTATTTTCTGCACATTCGTGCTCGTACAACAGGGCGGGTATGGTCTCACGTCCTTTGTTTACATAAACTCACTTTTACCCTGCCTGTCAATCTGTCGCCTAACTCCAGGTAAAACGAATTGCACCCTTCCACTGAAACACCACTAGGTATGTGTCATTCCTCCTCCCTTTACTTTCTTGGTTTCGTCCATCTTCCTTCTTCGTACTTCGCGCAACCCTCGTTCGTACAGCGCCCAGACTAAAGTTCCTTAGCCAAACCAACGGTACTATTCACCTCGCAACTCCTCAATCCTTCAGTATAGACTTTTATCCTTCCTGTTTCCACGTAGAAACAAGTGAGCCTGGTGTTCTCCTGCTCTGCCCTACTCATCATCTCCCTCCATTCACGTCGTTCCTTTCTCCTACTGCTCGCAAACTAACCTTCTACCGCCATAACTAGCGTCGCCATTGAGTTCGCCTTACCTCGAACCTTCCCTTCATCAACTATGTTCGTCAAGATTGGTCAAGGAACGACCAAGTAAGTGAAGCTTCACTTTCGCTTCACCCATAGCTTCGAGCGGCCATATTCTCTATTAACCTTCCTTCTACTAAATCTCCTCCGAATCTGACTGTGGGAACGGGGTCGCCCACTCCTAAGACCCCGGATTCGTTTTTCTCCCCACCCGTTTTCATCGTGGAGCGAGCGGGTTATGCGATTTACCTTCCTGCTATAGTTGCCCGTCTTCCATCTCCTTCACCTTCGAAGGCACCCGGCGTGATCTCCCCATCCAGATTCGTTCGTTTTTCTCCTCCTTACTAGCTCCTTCTGTTAACGCCCGACCGTGTGCTCATTAGAACACTTCCAGCGAACGGGGGTCAACACAAATAGCAAGCCCATAGAAATGAGAGTCGCAGTCCGCCAAGGAATGTATAGCCCTCATCCTGCCAAAACGATCCGCCCAAGGGTGCTGCGGTCCGACCTATGCCGTATACCGGTAGTCCCTGCTATCCTCCAAACGCGCCTGCCTACTCTTCATCCTTCTACAGCTGTACTTGGCACAATTTTTGTGCCTAGATACGGCCTCGATTCATGTATGTAATTTATTACGTAGGGCCCATGCTAATCTTCTCTGTATCGTTCCTGTTCTAACGGATGTCCCGAAGGACTCTATAGGGGGGGCCAGTGCCCCGCAATACTGCTGTCACCCAGTCTTTGCGTCGGGCCTGCCGCTGGAGAGAACCATCATGCCCCCCTCCTTCGCTCAGGCTTGATAGCGGCCTGTATGCCATGCACTCATACGCATGCCCACCATGGTCGTGTGCACGGACCCTTGGCCCGGGCTCAGCACCGGTACTGGCCCAAAAATATATATATATATATATGTATATAAAATAAGAAAAAAAATCGATAATAATAGAAGAAACTTGACTCAGACGGTCCCGCGCTCGGTTTCCCCTAGCAAAACTGAGGGGGATAGTCTCGTGGGACCCTCCACCCCTCAGCCCTTCAATGCTCCAATGCTCCTGTGTCGCCGTCCGCTTGCTTCGATCCCCGTACCTTCGTCGTGTAAGTCCAGCACCGTAACCTATAGGGCTAAGCCCAAGCTGGGGACCAATGCGCGCGGTATCCTATATAAACGGGTGTTGTGCAGCCCCCAGGCCCAGGAAAACAGCCCGGCCCTCATTCCTTCTTCTAACTAAGCACGCTGTCACTAGGCCTCCGCGCTGGCTTGCCCCCTCGCGCCGTGGCTACCTCGCACCCCACCTCGTACGTCAGGCCTATAAGTGGTCAACCGTCCTAAATAAAAACAAACCTTTTGTTCCTAATAAAAAAATCAGGCCGGCCAACTAGGCCGGCTGCTTAATCAAACGGAGGAATCACACGCGCGCCTCAAGACTGCGCGCTCACTCACGCTCTACTCTAGTCAACCACCCTATCAATGTAACCCTAACAGACTTAGCCGCGACTCGCGCGATACACTTAGACTTTTAAACTTACTTCCTGTCACTTGCAAAACCAAGGGCGGATACCCTTGTCACGGTATTCGCACCGACAACTTACCGGACTATATTAAGCGATGTCCCCGTCGCTTCGCAGGATCGAAAAGCTATAAATCCATCCACAACTCCAAATGCTAACGAGAAGGGAACCAATCCGATTAGCCGACAGACTCAGGGTTGAGGCCTCCAACAATCCAAGCCCTTATAACGATATGTCGCCAGGGTTCCAACCTGGGTCTCCATTGTCCTGACACTAGGACGCCGGTGTACTGGACATACATACTACAGCATGAGTCTTAGCGGCCCCTCTCAACCATCCTCTCCCCTTTGTCCTAGAGAAACGCCGACTTCTCGTTAAGTGTCCTTAGTCTCTTTCCTGCGAGTAGGACTTTAACCAAGGACGAGGGCCCTAACCGAGACCTTAGAAGCCACTTTCGCCTCTCTCCAACAATTCTCACAATCAAATATATATATATATATATATATATATATATATGCATATATATATATATATATATTATCTCAATAAACTTCCTGCAGTCTAGTACAGGAAGGCTAGATCTCCATCTTGGTCCACCGTAGTCTAGGTGATTGTGTCAGATCTACGGCCCACCACGTTTGTTAGTTTAGCGGTAGTGCCCTCGCTGGTTGTGCCACGATAGGCTTTTTCTCCTGATAAGCATTCAATCAGGACTCAAAAAGACTCGACTCGACTCCTATCCCACGTCGGTCCGCAGGAGTAAAACCCTCATAGGTGGCCACACCCCTTTAAGTCTTTACTCCCTTGGCATGACGTAGACCCGCTGTTTAGGTTACGCCGATCAGCAGCCGACACTAGGGGTTGCGCCCTAGTGATGCTAAACTTTACCGTCAGCTTGGTATTCTCGTAAATGCCCCAAGATTAGCATAAGTGGCTGGACGGTGTGTCGCAACAGTTTTGGCTTACTGCGGGACTACGCAAAGGTTTGTCACACATAAAAGGTATTTACCAGTCCTCTGTGGGACAACACAGAGAAACACGGCAACCTCTCCACATTCACAAAACAGAAATCACTGCTAGATCCACAAGGTTGTGACCTCTAGCCTGATCAGAGCAAGAGGTCACACATCCCAGTGACATCTCTTGAATGAATCATTTTGTGACCTCTTGAAAATCTCACCAATGGCCAAGCACAAACGTGGCCCTTCTCGTCAGACTTTATCATTCAACAATCCCCTTACCATGCCATTAGATCCATTAACCACCTTTCATATGAAGGAGGTCTCACTTAATAGGTCTCTCAGTCATCCCTTTCTCTCTAGGATGAACTTCCACACGACCTTTCATTTAAAACATCTTCCCTCTCGGAAGATGAGTCTCCCAACTCGCAAAAGACTGCCTTCTCACGAAAGGCATCTCTACCATAAAACAACTCAAACTGAGAGACCAACTTATGGATCCTCATCACAACTCAACAATAAACATTTGGCATCGCAAGTATTTTGAGTCTTAAAGACTCATAAACCCCTTATGATTCTTACACTTTCATAAAAAACAGACTGCATTTCCTCTCCTTATACCCGACCTTATTACTTGCACGTGGGCAGATCGCACGAGTATACCGAAGAGTAGGCAGTTCACATTCATTCTCATTCACAGAATACATAGCACACAAGATGTCTCTCATACATCTTTATCACAAAACCATCATACATCAGGATAAAACCACACATGTGAGAGTGAGCGTGATCGTCATGTACAAGGGGTAGTCTCAAGTAGCACTCAACTCAGAAATACACTCAGAGATGAGATATCTCATCCTAAAATTATACAAAACTAATCTTGTTTCATGACTCACTCAAAACAACGCACCTCACTCTCAGTATAGTACATGGCCAATGGTACAAGAAAATCACAAAAATAACTCAGAATTTTACTGCCACTCAGTGTACACACCCTATTTTACATGGTTCTAATCTCAGTGGCTATCCTATGCCGTAGTCCCCATTGTACATTCAACAGCATAGGCATCTAACTGTAAAAGCAAGGTCAATAGAAAGGCGTCTACCCCACTTAGGCGAACTAGTCCCTACTCACTCATCTCCTCCTGGTTCTGCCTGTACAACTGAGCTCTACCTCTGTCGGCAGATCGCTCTATTATTCTACCCTGTCTATCGTACATCCTTCCGCCACTCTCTGTGACCTTCCCTTTAGCCAGGTCCTTTAGGAACTTAGGGCACTGCAAAGCCCTATGCTCCCCTTTCTTACAGAAGAAACAGGTCGAGTCAAATGACTTCCTTGGCCTCTTCTTCTTTCGCTGAGACCCTGGCGATGAGGGTGCCTCACTGTCCTCCCTGCCCAACTCATAACTCCGAGGTGGGTTCGTAGGCTCCTTGGATCCTGTATCCAACTCCTGAGTACTAGGTCCCGGTCGTATCCCAACTCCATCGGGCCTAGACTCAGGCGTATTCAATCTCTGGGGCCTGCCCTCGATGACATCCTCCATTGCCACCCCGATCTTACTCTCAGGAGGCTCCTCTATCCTCTGCTCAGGTGAAAATAAACTTGCCTCCTCCTGCATAGTGTGGACCGCCTCGAGCAACACATCCATAGATCCTTCCGCTGAGCCCTGGACCGGCTCGCCGCTGGCTGTCGGCAGTCCCTCGGACTCCCTCCTCAACTGATCGTGGCATGGTAGGACCTGCTGTCACCGTAGGCAGTATAGCAAGTTCAATAGGAGCTATGAACTCGAAGGCTTCTCTCTCTGCCTCCCTCTTGGCCTTCGCCTCCTCAGGCTCCAAGATGACTCTCCCCATGGGCAATCCCTGCTGAGGTACAGCTGCGGATGGCTGCCCTGATAAGCCAGGCTCCGGCTGCCTCTGCTCTCCCTTTCTTCTGCTTTCTACCCTGTCCATTCCATTTCGAAGTTGCTGCTTCAGATCCTGAATGATGGCGGTTTGACTAGCCACCAATGCTCTGAGTTCGCGGACCTCAGCCTCGACGGTCTCCAAACGCACTCCATGACTTGGCTCCCTCACCTCTTTCCCTCTCAGATCAGCTTCCAACATCATGTATCTGTCGAAGGATGTCTTGGACAGGGAGCGGATCCTTCGGTCCAAGTACTCATCCGCTTTCTTCGAGGTCTCGACTTCCGCTTTGTCTGGAGCCGTCGATTCCTTGCCATGTTGGATAAGAAACTCTTCCCACATTTCCTTGATTCCATACGACCTGTGGGGTGGTGGCGGATCCAGGAGTGCCCCTGCCTCTTCCAATCTCTGCCTCTCTTGCCGAATTTCTTCCCAGCGCCTCCCTACTCTGGCCCGCTTTCCTCAGCCGTTTTCCCTGCTGATACTCTCTCCCTCGTGCGGCGATCGGCTCCCTCCGGAATCTCTGCTTCCACCTCTTTTTCGGCCTGACATGGCTCCTGAGGCGGTTCCACAGGCACGGGCTCCTCCAGGTCAGGGTGCTCATGTGCGTGTACGGCCAGATGCCTGTCAATCAAGCCGAGTGCCTCTCTCCTCTGGTCAGCTCTCTCATTCTCTCCTTCCTCCATTCCTCCTGGCGACGGGACCATCTCTGGCAGTGACGGTGGGACCTCCTCTCTCTGTGATTCCTCTCCTCTGCTGGGTGCGCTCTCTGGTGGGCTTCCAAGCCTCAGTCCCACAGCTGGTGTCTGAGGAGGGGTATCCTCCTCAACCTCTATGACCTCCTCCTCAGCACGTCCTCCCTCAGTACTTGGTCCCCTCTCATGCTCAGGGCTCCGAACTTCCTCTCGTGGCACCTCTTCGGCTGGCTCGTCACGCCTCTCACTTACTGGCGGCATTCTCCACTGGGAGACGTCCAAGTGTGCCTCCAACTCCTGCAATGGTTCACCAGGTGCCGGCACCTCCTCCCGTGCATGCAGTGGAGATACTCCCTGTCCTCCCTCAGTAAGGCGATGGAACTCCACTGGTCCTAACCGACACTTAGGATATGCCCCTTGCCCTTCACTCTCAGGTACCGTCTCCTCCTCTCTCTTGGCGAGTGCCTTTTGTCCTCTTCGCGACGGCCTGGCCTCAAACGGGCTCAGGGTCCCTTTGCCTCCTGTTCCTCAGGCGTCTCTCTACTCTGGGCAGCCGCCGGAATGCCTCCCTCAAGTGTGCCCTGTAGCCCTCCCAATCTCGGGCCATGTCCCTGATCTGCCTGGCCAAGGGCCTTTCCCCCTTCCGGGTCCATAAGGGTAACGTCCTTACCCACTCGTCCCTCAATATACCCTGATCATGCATGAACTGCTCGAACGGGATTAACTCCTCTGCATTTTCAATCTCCAGGTGAATCGGTCTGTCGTCAGGTCCCTTGCCTGAGGGTGTGCGGTCGTGGTGTAATTAGCTACCACACCATACCTTGTCGACAACTCTTGCACCTCCTGGCAGGTGAACTCCGATCCTCTATCCATTACGAACTCTCTGACAAAAGGATAACGCAGGTAGTACTCCTCGATGCAACTAATTAGGACTGGCCCAGTCTTCGTACGAATGGCCCGCCCATCTACAAAACCAGATAGGTTATCACGTGCATCGAAGATGTAATTGTAGCCATGATCTCCGAGTGGCATAAATAATAAGTCGAGATGTACCACAGCCCCTGCTTCCCTTTCCACCCTTGGATGCAGCGGCTCTCCCGGCCTTAGATGAGATTGCTCTTGACAAGGTACGCAGGACCGACAAAACTTACCAACCATCTTCATCATCCCCTCCCAATAATATAGCTCACTTATCTTGGTATACGTGGCGGTAATTCCTCGATGCCCTCCCGCAATGCCATCATGAAGTGCAGCTATAACGTCAATCTGACGGTTCCTGCCGCATACGACTCTCCTGGGGTTTCCCACTTGCCTTTTTACAATGAGATGATCATCCCTCGCCAAGTAACGTTCCCTCGTCCTTTGGACCCTATCGCTCGCATCCCTGTCCCACATCTCGCGCGATAGGAGAATTCTCAGCTCTAGGTAAATTCCATCATACTCTTCGGCACGGAACGTCTCCTTGATCTCCCCCTCTTCAAACTCGTCATCCTGGCTGTCTAGCATAGCATCTCCTCCCTCAGCCGGATTTAACGATCCTACTAAGTGAAAGGACTCCTGAAGAAGTGTATTGACGAGGAGGTACATTCCCCCCATCAATTCTTCATGCCTCCTTACGCGGTCCGGACCTTCTTTTATCGTCCTTATCTCTTCCACCAGACTATGATTGTCCGCGAGTGTGAGCTTCATCATCCATTGGACGTCCTTGCCACCCCAAGGGTCCTCTTCTTCAAAGGGCTTGAGTACTAGTTCGACCTTCCTCTCATCCCCTTAGCGCGTGCCAAATAGGATGGCCGACACAACTAGGCACTCGCGGAGACTACTTATTAATGTGGAGGCGGATGTCTTCCTCCTGGTCCAAAAAACCATCAACTGGGGGTGTATCTTCTATTGCCTCCCCTTCCTGCTCATCCCAGTTGATGCGACTTACGCAAGTCAACTTCGGAGACTTTCATTACTCTACAGGCCGTTGTGAAATCTCCGCCAACGCAGCCTGTAACGTAATGTTACATAGTAGAGGCGTTCGCAAGAACGTAAGAGCATATCCAACACTTAGCCCGTCTGCTCTGTTCTTACTACCTGGAATTTGCTCCAACTCAAAGTTAAACATCCAGATGTATGTTAGCCACCTGGTTACCGTTGGATCGGACGGAACATAGTTTCTTAGGGAGAAAGCTATAGCTGTTGAATCTACCCTCAATATGAACCTCCTGCCAAAGATGTAGTTTCAAAAGATCCGTAGGCAGTGAAGGACAGCGAGAGTCTCCCTTTTGAACTGAGAGTAATTCCTTTCTGTTGTGCACAGAGTTCGACTCTCAAAACGTAATGGTCTCTCCTTCCATTCAAGATCTGTCTGGATTAAAACCCCTCCTTAAGCAGTTGGTCTAGCATCAGTCTCAACAATAAATGGTATCACCTCCGTGGCGTCATAGTCCGACACTCCCAACACCAGTCCTCCTTCTCGAAATTCTTCCTTCATTCTTGTCACCGCCTTCTCCTGATCCTCACCCCAAATCCACTCTTGATCCTGACGAACTAACTTCCTCAATTGCTCTGTCTTGGCAGCAAAGTTTTTGACAAAGGTCCTCCAGAAGCCACACGTGCCAAGAAAGCACCTAACATTTGTTATCGAGTGGAATGACACTGGCCACTCAATTATTTTGTCCGTCTTCTTAATGTCTTGTCGTCGACCATTCTCATTACAGACGAATCCCAAGATGGTAGCTTCCCTCATGCAATGCCTGAACTTGGCTCCACTAGTCGTAAGGTTATGCTCTTCAAGCAAGCCTGAGACTTTGTCAAGGTCCTGAACATGCTTCCAGACAAAGCGCCTTACTCCTGACAAGACTTCATCGTGCTCTCTTTTTCTCGGTCCTTTTACTACCAAGTCGTCGATATATGGTTGCATAATATGCGGACTAACTGTTTGCATGACCCAAATCATATGTCTCTGGACCATTGCCACAGCGTTCGTCCACCCTTGTGGAGCCACATTCATATGGATGAGTCCTCGAGGCGTATGCATCGCTGTTACTGGTCGGTCTGACGGGTAGACCGAAAACTGGTCATATCCGGAGTAAAGGTCAATAAGTGAAATTATTGGTCTTCCAGCACACGACTCTGACAGCGCATCTGCATTCGGTAATCCTCCTGCATCTCGCACGGTCACTGCATTCAGCCTTTGCAAATCCTACACCCACCTTAACGTCCCATTAGGTTTGATGAAACAAAATCACGGGGACGCGTAGAGTCCGCTTGAATAATCGGCGACATGCGTGCGTATCTTGCTATCGAGGTAATCCACCACCTTCTTCTGCTCGTCAGGATTAGGATATTGCACCCCTCTTGAGTTCCATGGCTCATGTGGCACGGTATGGATGAGGATCATACGGATCTTGTCTATATCCAACCTGTCACTCTCCTCATCGCTAAAGGCATAGGCGCGATGCCTTTTCTTCATTAACTCTACCATCAATGTCCTCTCTTGAGGCAGTAGGAAGTCAGACTCTCCCACTATCAGCTTCCCCTCGTTCCCCTCGTTGATACGACATGGCCCCACTGAGGCGCTATCTCTCATCTGTCGTATCAGAGCTCGCTCCCGTTTATAGTTACCTCCTCATCTTCGGTAACGAGAACGGGAACTGGGCGACACTTTTTACCTATCGTTTTGTACCGCCTTTGGGAACCCTGCTTGAGTCGTCCCCTAAAAAAGGTTGACTTGTCGTTCGCGCTTGCGCCTGTGCCATAGCAGGATCCCTTCTCCCCTTTGGCAGCCGATAAACGAACTCTATCTCCCCTACCTGGGGATACTCCAGGACTTATTCCCTCAGCGCCTGAATGGCGTCTGGATCCGCCATTTCATGCGTAGCCACTATGTCCATGGCCTTATTCGCGTCAGACAAGCTGGGTGAGAACGCTTCTTCCCTTATTTCTTCCTTAGGTTCCGCCATAAGCCTCCGACGCTCGTCTTCTGACTCCTCAATGGTGAAAGAGCCTGGATTGGGCATGTTCCTGATGCTTCTTGGTCCAGTGTTCCGGCAAGTAATTATCTCATAATTTCCGCACGTTGGGTCACATAAGACCAAGATTAGCGACCCGTCATGCTTGTTGAACATTAGGGTCTCTGTTCTGCACAAAAAGGATCTCCCTAGGAGGATGCCATGATCCACGTTTGGCATTACGAAGAAACAAGCCCTTGCCTTTACCCTTCCAATCTTCAGCAGTACATTCGAGGCGGTCCCGCAAAACACGGCCTTGTTGTTGGTCCCATGTAGAATGCCGCAATCCGAGTGGTCTATTTCCAACCCAAACTTGACTGCGTCAACTTCTCGGATAATATTCATCCCGGCCCCTGTATCCACCATTGCCGCGCACTTGGAACCTCTTACTACTAAGTCCACCATACCGCATGCCACACACTTCCAGTCCATCTTCGTTCCTGGTTCTGCTCACTCTATTTCCTTTGACAGAATCACACTAAGGTGGACACTTGGTACCAACCACCTTGATAGTCTGCCTTTCAGCTCATTGCGGAGCCTTGGGGCGAACACCAGGATCTCCTTGAGGGTCATGGTTAGAGGTAAGTTGTACCTCGCGTGACCCTATCTTTTCGTAGGGGTTCATGAGAGGTATGGCTGGCACACTCCGCCAGAGCGGCACCGCTCCGGCATTGCTATGCGTCTCCATCTGCCAAAATTATGTGACGCGGCCAAAAGGGTCCGCCCGACGACGTGCTCACGGGTATGGGTGTGTGCTTGTATGTGTGTATGTGTGTGTGTGTGTGTTTGTGCTTGTGTGTGTGAGAGAGAGAGAGGAGGTAGACTCGTGCATAGAAGGAAGCAGACAAAAGGGAAAAGTGCGTGGAGAAGGGGCGCGCAAATAGGGAAGGAAACCACTACGACGACTTGGACCACAAGGACAACGTCAATGAAGAATACGACGATGAGAGGAAGCAGTAGGAGGAGGGGGAAGAGGAGAAAAAAAAAAGGTAGGTGAGAGGAATAAAAATGACATTCTTGTTTTTTACTTTCATTTTCCATAATGAATCCACCCCTCGTTTAGGGCAGATTCATGATCAACAACCTCACAAACTAAGGGGATACGCGAGCAGAAAACTATAGCGAACATACTCGCGCAGAAGAGGAAAGCGATGGCGATCACTATATGAAAGAGAGTAAGTGCGGAAATGAAGATCAACAACACGGGGGATGGAGATAGGGGTCGCAGGGTAAAAGAGAAGTGTGCTGCGGGGGGAGATGGGGGCACAATGAGGGAAGGAAACGTGCAAGGAAGGAAAAGTACGCGTGCGATGAAGGAGTGATGAAGTGAGAAGTTGAGGTACAAGAAGAAGAAGCCTGCACAGGGGAGGAAAACTTACCTATGGATGTACTTGCCTCGACACACGGGCAGGTACATGTGGTTGGAGAATCCTAGCACAGCCGGGGAAGTGAGTCGCAAAGAAGAAGTGGAAGGCGGCCAGGGCAAGAGAGCAAGAACATGCAGTAGAGGAAGCTATCTTTTCGATTGGATATAGCTATGATATGGGAAACTTCAATATGATACGGGCGAATAACTACTCGAACCTTGTAGTTGTTGTTTTCTTCCGGGGTGATTAACGAGCGGCATGCAGCCACGATCATCATTGTTTCTCTTCAAATGAGTGGTTATCATTTTCCTTGTCTTTGAAAAGCATGGGAAGTATTTCTCTTTATTATTATTAATATTTATTTATTTATTTTATCTTTGTTGCGGCCAAATACATCCGGTCATAATTCGGACCACATACAATGTTCGTCCTTGTCACAGAGGGTGCAGAGTGGAAGTAGAAGGTACGGGGACGACGAGGAACATGAAGGCGATCAGGAAGAAGGAGAAAAACAGATGAGAAGAGAGGCAAACCACATACCTCCTACACCACTTCCCCTCCAACACAAACCCCCCTCTATCACAGCTATATCCGATCGACAAGATAGGTTGTATCCATTTGAATTTACTCCCCTTATTATTTTCATTATTTCTCACCTTTGATTTCCCTTGTCCACTTTTATTTTATTTCCATTACGGTGCATCTGGGCGTGGTTGTACCCAGATGCGTCCGCTTCCAAACTACTTACCTCGCGTTGGCTGTGCTAGGAGAAACCGAATGCGAAGGCTACGAACAGGACGAGATGCTAGCTCTTGTGCCAATGTGCTAGTCATGAAAAAGTAGAAGAAAAAAAAAATAAGAAGAGGAAGAAGAAGGGCGAACAATAAGAAGAAGAAGAAGAAGAAAATGGGGGACGGAGCACTCAAAGCAGGATGACGATTGAGACAGAGAGATAGTAGAGCGCGAGTGAGGGAGGGAACGCGTGGTTACGATAAGATGAATGGGGGCCGCTTTGTTTGTGATGCCTGTGGGGTGCATATGATCTATGGGTGATGACGGACGTCTATTGGAGTGACTCCCTGGCTTAGCAGGTGGGGGGTGAACGAACAGTCAGTGGGGATCCGCTCGTGATGTGAGAAGGTGATGTGCCGCTTTGCTGCGTATGGAACATGTAAAGTACCTTATTTGCGCTCCTCTCCTGTCGTAATTGTCATGAGCATGTGCTTGTGGTAACACCCTCGCTCTGACCATGATGATTGTTTTCTTCCTCTACTGTCTTCCCTTTTATCCATAACCTTCACTTCTTTTCCTAGCTAGTTATTTCGTCCAATTCCCTTCCCTCATGTTGCTTTTCTTTCCCTTTATTATTGTTATTTTCGTTCACTCCTAACTTCACGTGCTCTTTCGGACAGGTTCATTTTGTCCGAGGTCAGAACTAGAGCCAGATACTTGTGGGTGGGACGAGTGCTATCCTAGGAAGCTAGAATACAAAAGAGGAGAGGTCGCGAATATAAGGGAGGAAGAGACGAGAGTGTAAGAAGGAGAAGCAGGTTCTGCCTCTGATGTGTTGGTGACTCTGTCGAAACAGCCTGTCACAACCCCTCGTGGTCATCCTCTCCCTATCTACCTACGGTTTACAAGGTGCATTGAACTTTTGACAGCTAACTCGGCCAGAAGCATTAAAGGCTAGCAATGAGACATGTTGACAGTAAAACCAGGTGAAGAAGGCACAAGGAAGGCAGATCAAAAGGCAGATCGAGGAGGAAAAAGGCAAAGAGTAAAGGAAGACGGTGAATGTGAATGAAGGAGAAAAGCAGGAGAGGAAGAAGGGGAGAAGACGGATAAACGGCGTCGGGTACATATCTCACAGTGATTATGGTTAGAAATAGTGCACAAGAGGGAGGCGAAGTTGTGCATGTGTGAATGGAAGGGAGGGAAGGAGACAATGAAAGAGGAAGGCGAAGGGGTAAAGAAAACACTTACCTGGTACAGCCCATCGGTCGAGTATCGTCGTGACCACCGGGTGTGCATTCCTCCCTCACCCCTCAGTGCCTTCAAGAGGATCGGTCTGGTGCTTCGCTCTCGTCGGCAAGCGGTTTCGGCTTGCCCTTCATACTCACTCTGGCCTTCATTTGCTCTGCAAAGGAAATGCTCCATGCTTGACCATTTCTATTTTTGTTGTTTTACTTATTTTTATTCAGAAATTTTAGATGACAATCCTTTGGAGAGAACTAGAGGACAGGACTGTTGGAATAAACGAAGGGAAAGAAGGGAGAAATGCCGAAGTGAAAGTGTAGAAGAAGGGAAGCAGATGAAAGCAGGAACCAGGAAGGTAGAGGAAGAGAAATGGTGGGGAAACGAGTGGAGCTCTCCCTGACTTACTTGTCGTTGACGAAATGCGTCGGGGTAGGGGTTCAGCCTCTTGATGAGGTTATGAAAGTTCTGCAAAGCCGTCTCTCACAGTCCCTTGCTTGTTGTCCTTTTCTGCTCTCTGCCTGTGAATGCATCTTGCCTGAAACGTGAGTCCACGTGACCACTATAATTCAATTTTGCTATTGCTTTCTTCTTTTATTCAGTCTTTTATTTTGGGTTTTGTTACTGTTATTAGTGTTATTATCTCTCTTGGAAAAGAACGTAGAGAAGACAACCGGGAATAAAGAAAGCGAGAGAGGTGAAAGCGAAGAAAACGAAACAAAGAAGAAGAGAAACGGGAGGAAGAAGAGGAACAGGCTGTCCTGGTGCGAATTAGTGGGTCTTTTCATTATAATTTTTTAGTATCCTTCGTTCCACTTCTTGGTTTCACCATTTCCAGTTTACCTGGGCCCGGGCACCCTGTTTTCCTCCTTCCTTACCTTTGTCTGTTTTTATATTATTATTTCTGGGTACCATTTTTTTTCTTTTAAGTCTTCTTTTTAATGATTGTTGAACTTCATAATGGTTCACTTCGCGGGTCAGAGTATGAAGGAATCTTTGGTTACAACAAGGGGTCAGAACAGGCAGCGTAGGAATGGGTACTTTAGATAGTCTCCCGCTGCTCATCAGCAGCTCTGTTTTTTTTGTGGACACCTATTTTTCTTCTCTGTGTTCCTTTATGCTTGCCGGGGATAAGCAACCGGACTGGTTCCCTCCCAGAATATAAAGAGGGTGAGCAACAGGACTGGTTCCCTCCCCGAACATAAAGATGGTGGTATGTTAAAAAAAAAAAAAAAAAAAAAAACGAAAAATATTCGCTGCCTAGGCTACCAGAGTGGCCCGGGACCAGTGGGGATCCAGGCCGCCCGGGTGACCGGCAGGGGCCCGGGAGAGGTCCCGGGCGGCCTGGCCGGGCAGGGCACCGGGTTGGGGGCCGGTCCCCCCCAGCGCAGTCACCTGTCGGGGGATTTCGGAACCCCTTTCGGACCCGCTTTGTGTGTGCGTGTGTGTGTGTGTGTGTGTGTGAGAGAGAGAGAGAGAAAGAGATGTGTTCGAATCATACTTGCAGCGCATATCATGCGCGGGGTGCCGCACGCACATGCACGCACGAAAGTGATGCGGCACATTAAAAAAGCAGACACACAAAATTGTCCTCGTTGTCTCCAGCCTCTTTTCGGAAGGATCCCTACAGCGTATTAGCCAGGACCCAACGTCAAGCAGAGATATACTTCTAACTTGTACTCCCCGAGAGTGGGCAAAGAATATATAGTCTGGATTCGAATTCAGGTCTGTGCATGTCGGTTATGGGTCACCATTTCTCTGTTTTCTCGCCTTTCTTTCCTTTTCTCGTTTTTCTTTTCTTAGGAACACGTGCAGTGGCCCTAAGGGCCTTTACTCACCAAATGCACAAAAGACAAAACATATGGTGGCGTATTATTCCACGTTCTGCATCCACATTCTGCAGAAGATTCATTCTAATTTTGCACATTTCGTGAGTAGTGCAGCCAAGCCCTAAGAGTCACGTGCAGAGACCAACAGGCCCTAGCTACGTGAGCAACCCATAACTGCTGAAACAAAGACCTGAATTCGAATCTTGAGTATATATTCGGCCAGCTCGTGCTCTATTTCATATTCACTGCCTGCCTTGATTTTGGTGGGGGGGTCTGCGCCACATATCTGCGAGGACCATTCAGATACCCTGCATGGGCCGTCTGAGCCGTGTTAAGGGGATCTGTTCTCTCTCTCTCTCTCTCTCTCGCCCCGCCTTGTATACACACACACCCATTACAAAAAAAAAAAAAAGAACGCATCTGCGCCCTATCACAGACACCCCCCAATCCCAGCACCCCCCACCCAGACCAACCCCCCCATCCCCCCACCAAAACCAAAATTTTCTGCAGATTCGGGGTCCTCTCGCCGAGCGCAGAATGACCCCGGTATCAAAAAAAAAATAAAAAAATTATGGGCGGTTTTTTGTCATGGCCGGTTTACCCGGGCGGCCCCCCCCAGGCCCAATCGGCTGGGCCCGGCTTGGCAGGGCAGGCCCGGCCGGGCGGCGTCCTTGCTCTTTCAAAAACTAACTTTTTTTTTCCTTGGTAAAGAATTTCGATGTGACCCTGAGGCAAAAGTTGTTCAGTTTATTTTTCTGCACAACACAAGTTATTTTCAGATTTTTGGAATTTGTTTTTTTTTTTTTTTTTTTGCTGGGACTTTCTTTGGTCCTTGCACGGCCGGGCCGCCCGGGAAAAGAAGGCGACCCCCCCAAAGTTTGCCATTTTATGGCAATCAAGGAATGGGAACCTCGAAGTGATATCTTATCAATAGTAAGGGCTTCCTATAATTCAACAATAAGTTACTAATAACTGTTGTTCAATAGTTAATGTGCGACATTATTATTGTCATTGTTATCATTTTTCTCACAGCTAAAGTTCGGATTCTGTGTACGTGTGTGATGATGCGTGCATGCATCCCCAGCTGCAAGACCTCACATGAGAGAAATGTACTAGGGCCTCACGCCACCACTCTCAATTCTAGGGGTTGTTTCTTTGGCAATGATCCCCATGCTGGGAGTTAAACCACCAGTACCTCGGCCGATTGAAACACAGAGTCAAGGAGCGTTAACAGCCACGACTTTCGGGGGTTAGGGAACGAGCGCCAGATCGCTGCCCCAAAATACAAACATGAACAAAAGAGAAAACACTTCAAAGCAGACAAAATACACGACATTATTCTACCCCCAAAAAAAAGAAAGACAACGATAGCACGCGGGGGTGTGTGGGGGGAGAGAGAGAGAGAGAGAGAGAGAGAGAGAGAGAGAGAGAGAGAGAGAGAGAGAGAGAGAGAGAGAGAGAGAGAGANGGGGGGGGGGGGGGGGGGGGGAGAGAGAGAGAGAGAGAGAGAGAGAGAGAGAGAGAGAGAGAGAGAGAGAGAGAGAGAGAGAGAGAGAGAGACCAGGAAATGCAATTCATACGTGAACAAGAAATGACAGGCATGTGGTGTTGTGTTCCTGAGGGAAAAGCCAGGCTCGTTAAGAGAAAAGGCGAAGCAGAAGTCTCTATCGCCCTTAGAATAAACACCAGCGGGGTAACAGGGAGGCAAGGAATAACAAACAATGACATCCATCATCGGTCTTAATTTCTCTGAAGTCTAAATGTCCCATGTGAACACCAGAAAAACAGCCACCCGGCTGAGTTATTTATAAAGAGCCCCTGAGGGGGCAAGGGAAAAAAAAGCAAAGCAAAGCAAATTGAAACCAAAAGGAGGACATAAAATGAAAGAGTTCTCGACGGTTTCCACAATCGCCCTTGGAAAAGAAAAGAAAAAAAGGACAGTTTCCACAGTCAACTCCTCAGTCCAGGAGATGATATATGTCAGGACTGCGCAAGCAGAGAGAAGTACCAGAGAAGCATTGATGGCATATCCTCAATCCTCCAACTGGAACGCACAGTCTCATTAACTGAGTTTCTTGTAACAATCTCTAGTCACACGAGTGGCTCGGTCATTTTCTGAAGCATCTGCTTTACGTAGGCAGTTCTTTACCTGAATGAATAGAGAAATGTTCAGAACGGTGGATCGCAGAGTCCTTTGCCTGAAACAAATAGACACGACTACAGATGCATGCATGTCGCCGAGTCCTTCGACTGAACGAATGGAGACTATTACAATGATGCATGCATGCATGATGCACAGCATTTACTTCTAGATCGCACGCTGAGGTCCATTACAGCTGGCTAGCATTCACATAGAATTAACAGCCCCTCTTCTTCATCGTCTTCGTCTGAAGCATGTGTGGCAAGTAAACTGTCCCATCTGGGACCACTTCCATAGTCAAGGGGGAATGGGAAGTAGTCTGACGAACAAGATCAGTTCTTCAGCGATGGTTGCATGTCGTCAACAATTGCTTCATCAGTGTCTGGAAGAATCACCATGTAGTGCACACAGATGAGCGACACCACTGCCATTTGCTACATATGCCTTGATGCGATGAAAGGATGGTGCTTCGAGGAGAAACCTCCCACGTTGGGATGTTGCCACTTCCTCCTGCAAACAGCAGAGGCTCGAGAAGCTCACCGGAGATGATGCCGCATCACCTTACGATCTACTCAATTGGTTCAATTTGGTTGTGGTTTTTCGTAGGTCCGCAGGGCTATCATGCATCTAAACAGCCGCCACCCCCTGTTACATGGCTCGATGCGATGCAAGGACGGTGCTTCAAGGAGAAACCTGCCCAGCTTCCTCCTGCAAACAGCAGAGGCCCAAGAAGCTCAGCAGAAACCTGCCCACCTTACGATCTACTCATTTGGCCTATCTATCTATCTGTCGCTCTCTATGTCCCCCCGCCAACTTCCCCCCTCCCTCCCCCCCCTCTCCACATCCTTGTGGTGACGATGCCAGCGAACCCAGGACATTTGTATACATATTCTCATCATTGTAGAGAACCACATACATAGCAGAAAGTATGGAACCAGAAAAGGAGACGAAACACAGTCATTTTCATACCCCACAAATGTGGCGATGCCAATGTATCTGAGTCCCAAGTTCTTTGTGCCAAGATCCAGTGCCAAGCCCCCATTTGGCCCATTCCTGCAACTTTTCTGTTCATGCCAGCCGAGAGGAATGACCATACTCCTGCTACGAGGAGTCAGACATGAAACCCTTGTGTGGGTAACGACAAAACTTTTGCCCAGCCCGCAGTGGTTCTCCTCAGAAAGGAATCGCTTTGCT